ATATACTAATGTGCCACAAACAGGACTTTAATATCACCAACCATTCCCATTTTATTACGGTGTATCCATATAAATGGCCCACCCTGTAGTATATTAGAAACTGTCCTATTTCTGTTCTGTCTGTACTTTTAACCATATGTTGCACTGACACACTGACAAGAAGCACTATGTCGAAGAATTCCTGGTGTTGAGATCAATATTGAAGGATTTCTGTGAGTTTGACTCAGATTATCTGTGCTAATCTCCTTCAGCCACTCGAGAAGTGTCCAGTAATAACTGAGGGCAAACTCTAATGCAGATCAGTTATCAGACGTTGATGGACAGTGAGGGGGATCCCGCCGGTCTGACCGAGGTGATCTGACACAAACTGTCAGTCGTCTGTCAGTGAACGCGGCCCTCGCTGTTGTTTCTAAATTAAAGTCATTCTAACAGCTGAGTCTAACATCTGTAGTCCAGATTCTATGTTAGTCTGAGGTTTTGCTAACTTTAACCTCACAGGTAACATGCTGTAGTTCTAGTTTAAGCCTCAAATTTGGAAAATGCTGACTGGATACCCAGCAGTCAGACATTTTTTTATTCCCCAGAGGATTATTTTTAACTTTCGGTATTTTCTCTTCCATTTTCTGGAAACCATCCTCATAACTCTCTAAAACTACTTGGTATTAGTTGGTATTTAGCTGTAAATTACAAGAAGATCACAGAGAAAGTCCTACACATGGGATATTGAGAAAGAATGACATTGTTATATTTGTGTTTTTTACAAAGAAAATACGTATTAATGCATTAGAAAAGCTAAATATTGCACTTAAACTGATCTTTCTTTCTTTTTTTCAAAGGTAACCTTCACAGCTGAAGGTTTACTCCTGCTTTATGCTTGGAAAGTTCCTAATCTGTGGTAGAAGGAGTTCTAGAAAAAACCCTAATATACCACGTGTAAAATCTGCAGTTTTCTCATGCAGTTCATGCAGTGTAGACACAGAAAGAAAAGCATAACTCAACCTTAGTTGAACTTCAATTTCAGTGACTGTCTGTGCAGAATTAGAACATTTTAAGGTGCAACCTACATTTCTAGTAATGTTATGTTGACCTTGTCATTGTGTTGTTTTGATGTCGATGTTTCTAGTGGATCCAACCACTTACAAACAAAGTTCTGTAAAATTCTTTAACCCTTCCATTGTGGGAATCCATGTTTTTGGATGGACCTTGCACTGATGATGGTTATTTTTCCTGCCAGATTGATGGACCACGGCCAAAATTAAAGCCTTGTTAAGCTTTTAGTTAGAGAAAGAAGGCTGACCTTAACATTTCCCTAAGATCATCGTCTTTTTCTTGCTGTTAACTATTCAGTTCAGTTCAATTCAATTCAATTTTATTTATATAATGCCAAATCACAAGCTTAAACGCTAGATTGACAAAAGCTTATAAGATTAACAATCATTTAAGAATATACTTTTATTTCTAGAGAGGAACTTCGTTCCATATGACGTTTCTTGAGATTGTTTATCTTCACCAAACCCATTTCTCAGGGAGTAAGACTTTCAGATGCAGAGGAACTTTAAGAATGGAACTACAGGTTAATCAAACAGATATTCAGTGATTTAAAAATCCGATGTTCTCAAATATTGTCCGGTATTGTTTTTTTCTTTATGACACACAAAACATAAACAGGCTTCTCTGATATTTGTTATGTGTACATATTTATTTAAGTTCCAACACGTGTTATTAGCAGGGAAGTTCCTAAGTGACCTCTGGTGGACAAAGACAGCGATACGTATAATGTTTTTGAAGGGTGTTTTTTTTCCCCTTTTTAAATTTCGGCTGTTAGCCAATAATATCGTCCTGCTTAGAAATTGGCCGGGCTCAAGGTGGAACTTGGAGTGCTTTATGCTGTTTTACATATTTTGAGCTTCACAGAATATCTTTTGATAGAAGGGCAAGTTCAAATTCTTTTAAGCCTTTATCTAGAGGAAGACACCCAGTAGGAATTTGAAACGATGAGCTTGAATGAGTCAACATTTTGACAAGTTCGTCATCATTTTGTTGCTTTTCTGATGCTTCAACTGACTAATTTACCTACAGCTGCATCTTGGTAACTTCTAAAGCTATTTTGCATTGTCTTGTTGCTGAATAGGAGGCCACCACTGTGCAATCAGAGGGATGATTGCTGTGAGAAGAAGGCAGTATAATTACTTTGTGAGATATTTTTACTGAAAGGGAGAGAAACTTCCGTCTATTACCTTCAGTCTTAACAAACTCCACTGCCATCAGAAACATATTGAGAAAACACAAGCAGCCAATCAGTTTTCCTAGTTTCAGCTTTTTGTTCATGTAGCAAATCCATCTATTATTTTCAGGGGAGTCTTTTTTGCTCACAGACGGTGTCTCTGAATCTCCTTCCAGACATCTGAGTTGTTTCATTTTTAAACTTTTTCTTCGATTCATATGCAGCAGGTCGGTCTGGTGTTCTGCTCACTGGCAGCTGTTTCCCCAGTTGGTAAAGCCAATCAGCATTCTCCTGCTTCGGAGCCAGAGAACCAGTGACAGAAAAATGGCAACAAGCCTGAATGAGATCAAGACAGCTGTGCAGGTTTTGTACGTTGAATTCCCCAAATAACAACTCGTAAATCTCAGTGTTTCTTCAGCTATCCTGGTCACAGATTCTCCATCTTTAAAATGGATAAATTAGATTGAATGAATCAATATTTCCATTTAGAGCTCCTGCTGCTCTCAGAATACAAAATTACCCTTTAAAAAACTTCTCGTTGGGTTCAAACATTCCTCTTCTTGCTGTACATGGCAGAAGAAAAAAACATGACCATTAGTTTTGACAGAAACTAAAACATATTGTTTGAAATCACAGCTCAAGCAGCCTGAGGCCTTTTCTGATTGAGTTAGTCATTTATTTAGATTTTTGTTGTCAGCGTCCACCTTTAGCTGTTTCGGTTCGCTTGTGCTGCATCACTTTCCGCTCTGGATCGTTAAAAGTGTTTGCACAGCGTTTTGAAGCCATTGGGACTTCTCATGGTATAAATTACAGGCAGCCACAGCCTGCACTCCCAGCTGTTTACTGTGGATGATGAATTCATACCGGCCTGATTTATTTGGCTGTTAGCTTATTGCATCATTTTGGAATAATGTTCATGCATTATGGAGACTGGAAGTCCAAAGTCATGTGGCAGAGAGCACGTCTGCTCCGTCATTCACTGATCCATTGCTTAATAACACATCAATCACGATGCTTCGACATTATTGCAGCTTTGTGACCTCTTGAGTGATGAAGTGGTCTGACTTTTATCAGATCTGCAAAGACTGACTGATTATTTCTCATGGACATTGATATTTATTTTCATGCCGGAGGTCGTTGTTTGAGTCCAGTAATGAGCCGGTAGACAAGTTGCGGCCATCGCTCATCATTAACATCCAGACATATAAAAGATTTAGACTATACTCTGTGTCCACACATTTTTAAAAGCTGCACGAACAAAAGTTCCCACAGATATAAGTGTTTACTAAAAACTGATGCTGACTGAGTCTCAAGAGAGCTGCTCCCACTGCAAGGATGTGGACTCCGTCAGAGGCTGTGCAGAAAGCACAGTCTCCTCTCGAGCGTGGAGATGTAGTTGGACACGTTCAGCAGGACAGGACTTGGATTTGGGACAAGTTGAGCAATGTGGCACAAGTCCATCTCACATGCTGGGCCAGTGAACCAACTGGGAAAAACTGAAACATCACAAACTCAACTGGAAGGATCTCTGGAAAATGGAAGGAAGCAGACTTAGCTTTATAATCAGAGGCACGTACAATATCCTCCCTACAGCCCACAACGTCCATTAGTGAAGTGGAGACGACCATATGTATGCTCTCTGCCAAACTCCAGCAACTCTCAGGCAAAAAAAACCTGTCCCAAGGCCACAACACCTAGAAATGTACAACTTCCACAACCAGGTCCTGCAACAACTGGTGATTATCTCATAAGGAAGGAAAACTGACGCCAATGCCCTCGCTCCTACAGTAGTCTGAATACCAAGCCTCATTCCCTTCATGAGAGCAGGAGAACTTCTTGTGAAGTCATTGGCAAGAGTAAGCATGACCCTGGAAGATTCAGGTCAACCCTGATCACACTGGTCTTTCTGATAGGAACAATAACTAATCTCAGGCCAGACCTCATGTTGCGATCAGCTTTGCAGAAGATATTAGACATTCTGAAACTAATGGTACTTTGGGAATCTGGAGTGGAAGAGCCATATGAATGGGAAAGCTTGTCATAATAGCAGCTCAGGCAGAACCTTGCTGTGGAGGCAAGTGTAAGCATGTAGAGGTCTTATTGTCAAGACCAAAACTCCTGAAGAGGATGGGAGTGCGAGGGCACTGAGTGAAGTAGTGACTGGTTGTTGATCAAGAAAAAGGACACCAGGTGTCATGTTGAGCCCTCTGGAGGTATTGTGGAAATAAAATCAATGAAATACTGAGGATGGAAGATGCCCATCTGATGACCCTAATGAAGCAGTTACTGCTCACCCACTAAGGACCCCAGGCAGGAAGCAGTGCTGATTACTCAAAGGATTGAACCATCAAGTCCTATAAGCTCCACTGAGTCAGAGTTCCTGTATTTGTTTTTAAATCCTTAAATGGTCTTTACCCCGAGCTCTCAGGTCATCTAACCAACTGCTGCTACATATACAGAAATCTAAGTGGAAACTCAGAGGGGACAGGATTCTCTATCGCTGCCCCAAGGTTATAGAATAAACTGTCTTTGCATGTTAAACAGTCACCTCAACAGTCCATTTTTAAAACTCATCTTAAACACATTTTTCCTCCCAGGCCTTCAAATCAGCACGATACATTCAAATCATTTTATTTCTACCTTAATCCAACCTTCGGTTAAAAACCCAAACCCAAAACCCAAAATTGGACAATTAGCAAATATTTATATTTCAAATATGGGCAGCACGGTGGCACTGTGGTTAGCACTGTTGCCGCACAGCAAGAAGGTCCTGAGTTCAATTCCACCATCAGGTCTTTCTGTGTGGAGTTTGCATGTTCTCCCCGTGTTTGCGTGGGTTCCCTCCGGGTACTCCGGCTTCCTTCCACCGTCCAAAGACATGCCGCTTGTGGGCATAGGTTAATTGGATAATCCAAATTGCCACTAGGTGTGAATGTGCGAGTGAATGACAGTGCGAATGGTTGTCCGTCCCTGTGTGTTGGCCCTGCGACAGACTGGTGACCTGTCCAGGGTTTACCCTATGACAGCTGGGATAGGCTCCAGCGCCCCCCGCGACCCTGAAAAGGATAAGCGGAAGCGAATGGATGGATGGATGGATTATATTTCAAATAAAATTACCAGTAAAAATTTTTATTTTTCAACGAATCAGCTATCAGAATCGACGCAGTCCACTAACATATCCATCACTAATCGTGTGCTCCCCCTCTTGCAGGTGGTGTCGGTGTTGCGTCCGGAGGAGATGTTCGAGTGTGTGTTCACATGTGGAGCAGACTGTAAGGGAACGTCGCTCTACCCCTGCCTGCAGATCTTTGTCAACAACTCCGAGTCCAACTCTGTGGCTCTGCTGCACTTTGACGAGCAGCAGCTGGTCCTCAACCCAAAGGTAACGACACCTCGTTTTACCGTGTGACGTGAAGGCGTGAGCGGCATGTTTTTTATAATGTTTTTCTTCATCAGTTAGGCTCTGATGATGCTGAGCTGCTGTCCTGATAGTCCGAACTACTTTGTATCCGCTGTTTGGTCATTAAAACAGAGACGCTCATCATGTTTCAGCGCTAAAGAGGATTTTATTGAACCTGTTTATTTCCTTCATTTACTTTTTAAATTAGCTCTCACATCAGATAAGCTGCATTCTCCAGTTTGAAGCATTTAATGTCAGCTAATTGATTCATTGATTAATCCTTTCAGCCCATATGACAGCTCATTCTGTGGATGAAATAGTTTATTAAAAAATCAGCTGTTCCAGCTCTTATATCAGACAAATCAACAGCCAGCCTTTTTGAACGTTTTCTGAACATCATATTTGTGCAAATTAATCAGGTTAGTTTTATTAACAGCTGATCATCCATAAGGTGTGATCAGAAAGTTTGGGGAATGAACAATAATAATAATAATAATAATGTCATTTGCCCACAGTCACCTTTAAAGTCGTCTTCACCTTTGGAAGCATTGCTGCTACTTTCAGATCACTTCCTGTTCACTTACCGTGTGCACTTGGTTGAGGGCCATTGCTAATGTTTAGAACTGGGTCTTCTTCTACAGCCCAGAGACCAAACAGCAGGTTTCAGTCAAAAAGTTGTACAGTTTGCAGTCAGGACAGTTGTTCTTCGGTTTGTTTGTATTTTTCAGGATTCGTTGGTTTGTCCAGATCTCCAGGCTCAAAGTCTCATATTTGACTGATGCCAGTGCTAGCTTTGTATTAAAGGCTGGCTTTTAAAGGCCAGTTTTACAGCCTTTAAATGAAACTAATAAGCTTTGCACTGTGAATCAGTGTTGCTATTACACATCTGAATTGGGGCAGACCTGAAAACCAAGGCTGTTGGATTCAAAATGTCTGAATGACTATGGACGATAATCATCGTGTCATGAAATAACACGTAAGCTCATACGAGTGCTTAAAATTTGATTTACCGGTCTCTCTTTTCACAGATCATTTATTTTAGTACAATACACCTCACCAGTTCATGAGACGGTGTGAGAGATTTCACTACAAGCTTAATTTCTGACCCTTCATTTAGCATCACAATGAGTGAAGAGTGAAAAGCTTTAATTCCTGCTGCCAAATGTGGAGATTTACAGCAGCTCAAACTACAAAATATTAACAGTGAGGCTGCCAATTACTCAGAAATGAAGTACTCTGAGTACTCTACAGTGGTATTTGTACTGCATGAACACCCAGAAGTTGTAATATCTTGAGGCAAATGCAATAATCTGGGAAAGCTGATTCTGTTCACTGAGAACGCCGCCTCCGGATGAACACAAACAACTGTCTAAGTTTTAATGGCAGCAACAACATATCAGGCAATCACCATATTAGGGATATCTGCTCTTGGTGACATCATACAGACCCAAGACTGGAAATTTGATGTGAAACTTAACATTTAGCTAATGGGTATAACTGTAGCCACATTATTTAAATCTTTGGCCATGTTTCATATGAACGTCACCACTGAAACAGCAGATTTAGGGCAGATTTAAAGTAAGTAGTTTGAGTACCCTGATAAAAAGTGGTCTACGCCTCAGTGGGTCAGAGGTTAAATGGCTGAAATGAGGAAAAAATGGAAGTGTTGCAGTGATCTTGCCATATTTTGCTGTTTTAGTTCCATCTGAGTGTCAGGAGAGTTTCAGTCTGATTGTTTTTGTATCGCAGCATCTAAAGTCAGAGGTGAACCTAAACAGATCCGCTCACTGTGTGAATGAAGGACTCAGAGCGCCATTAACAACCAGCTGATGGTAAACACTGCACAGCTGCGTGACTCCGGGTCTGAGGGCTGGCTGTTTACAGTTTGAACCCCTCCGGGTTTCCACTTTAGCTGCGTGGGTCATGAAAGAAAGCACATCCATGTAGTCAGGTTCAATATCTGGTGAAACCAAAACAGCTGAAGCTTTCATAGCAATGACACGCTTGCATAATCTGGATGGGTCCACATAAATTTGGATAAATAGTGCAGAAAACCCCCCACGAGGGGCCAAAAGGACAATATGCAACAAAATAATCAAACAGCAACAGAGATAAACACAGAAGTCTGTGCTGCTGCTGCTTCTTCTTCTTTGGTGCATGCCTGGGTCGTCACTATGGCAACAGAGTAAATATAGAGGGGAGAGACGGGGCGTCATCGATGCTGCTCAGTCGCCATGGCAACCCATGATGTGGAGATGGAGAAACGGAGAGAGAGCGAGAGAGAGAAGTCACGCTTCATTCAGAAATCCTTTAATGTCGAGAGAGAGAGGCTGAAAATTGGAAAAGGACGGATGTTGCATCGCTCGTCGGCTGGGTGACCTTTACATGTAACTGAAAAAGGGGTGGGGGAGGGTTGGAGGGGAGGGTTCCTCGCTTCAAATATAAAATCTTTATAAAACCTTTATTGCTCCTCCTCCTTCAAGACCAAAACATCGTTAACATGTTGGCAAAAAGACAAAAATGAGCTTGTTGGCGGGTCCTCAGCCTGCCTCACAGCATGATCAGCTCCTCACAGATTCCTCAATGTAAACATCCAGATTCATAACGGGAATAATAAGCACGTGTGCGTCACACACACACAGGTATACAGCGATCATAAACAGACAGGTGCATCGAATGAAATATGATTTCATTTGGTGCTCACTTCCTCCTCCACGGGTTTGTTTTCAGACTCTCTTACAGCAGCTTTGTATGATTCATAGTTAAAAATAAGCCATATCTTATCCTGGGCCTCAAGCAGCCCCTTCGTCTCAAATAAGCTATAAGACAGCACAGAAGGTGGGCAGGGCTTCTGTGCCCATGATGACCATCTTAGGGTTATATCTTTGTGTGACATCAGAAAGATCCAAGAGGAAAAAAAAACATGAAACTGAGTGTTCAGAGACGTGCTACACAGAGTGCTGTTTGAATATAATACCAGTGCTGGGTTCTGGTTGTACAGTCGCCATGTTTCACATGGCTTAACATGGGGCCGGTGATTGGAAGAGTGGGGCGGTGGTTTGATCCCGGGCTCCTCCAGTGAACAAGTTTAAGTGTGTGAGTCTGAGTGCAGTAGTTAGAAAGCACTTAAAGAATAGAGTGTTTTGTGATTAAAAACCTCTTTGAGTGCTGAGTTTGTGTGGAAAATTTGCAGTTAGATGGTTATGGTTGAAATTTGAATTTTACTCGTTGTTCAGGAGAAACCAACAACAGCTCCGTATTTCTGTTCTTGGACTTTAAAACAGCAGCTTTGCTTGATCCATAGTTCAAAATAATCGTTCTTTAACATACACTGGTGCAGGCCCTCAGTCTGAAGTGAGCTGTAAATTTCCTCAGACTGGCTGTCCCTCATAAACAGGAGGCGTATGGAGCTCCCATGACTAGATTATTAGAACTTCAAGGAGGTGTCTTTATGAACATCTTAACATGGTTAAAACCCTGAGTGGAAGTTTGATAACTGTAAAAATGTATAAAACGTAAAATTCAAAAAATTGGAATTTTCACATTTCTAATTTTGTAAAAACACAAGAAAAACAAAAAAACAATCAACCAACACAAAAAAACGTATTTAGTTTTTATGGAATTTATGTGATTTATGCAGTCGATAGATAGATCCAGCTGCCATCAGCTGATAACTTAGCACTCCAGCTTTTTGTTCAAATACAGTCACTTCTGGCTCTTTCTGGTGCTCAAAATGCTAAAGTTGAGGCTTCAAATGGCCAAATGTCCACAGCAGATGGGTGATCAGGGTGCTGGTGTGTCTTTTATATAGAGCATATGGTTTGGGGCAGTGCAGTAATAGATGGTTTGAACCACAGCTGTCTTAAGCAGCTTTCATGTGGTCTCAGATGACAAAGATTGTGAAACTTTGTCGTGATATTTTTCCTCTCTGAAGCTGTTTGGACTTCAGCTCATTGTAAAGGCAGATGAAACAATAAAGGCTGTGTGCTGCTAGCTCTGCAGGGGTATAAAAAAAGACAGCGCTGGGATTTTAGCCAATCACGATTTTAATAAATGACATATCGGCAGAATGTGTCTTCAGGGCCACAGCAGATCTCGGACGAGCAGGCGAGACGCATCGATATGTCTGTTTGGTAACCTCTCAGAAGGTTATTGTAGACGACATGCACACACCAGCTGCAGATACACAAAGTGACGCACACCTGCTGAACCACTTCATGTTTATTGGGGTCAGGAGTTCATTTCATTTTTGTTGGAGGAGAAATGAACTGTGAAGACACGAGCAGAGAAATGAGCTGCAAGAGATTTTATACTCAGCGTGTGTATTTAAGTGTACTCGCCCAGCTATTCTCATGTGGACTCGTGTCATTTTCAGACCTCATAAGAACTGTGGGGTAAAGAAAGGTCATTTTGGCCAGTTATGATTTTGGGTTGCTTCTGGTTATGACGTGGTTTGAGAATTGTCACAAAAGCAGAAGTGAAATATGTGTGTTGGGCATGTCTAGCTCTCAGCTTGTGTTTAACCACGAACTGATAAGCTGGTGTTTCTGATCAGATAACAACTCAGACCTGCAGCTTTAATTAAAACCTGACAATCTCTTACGTGTTTGCCTACATTAATGTGTGTGTGTTCGTGCATCACTGCGTAAATCCAAGCGCCGTGTTCACTTGATTCAGCTGGTGTGAAAACAAATATGTGGCTGGATATGCTCTCCGTTTCCTAATTTAAATCTCTGAAGGTGACATGAAAAGTGCAGCAGGAAGGTTGTTGGAGAGCTCGGAGAAGACTGTTGCATTTTAGTCCCATTACATTAAGAATACTGATAAGTACTGATACAGATCAATGGAGCCAGTATTGATGAAATTCTGATGATAGCTATCTGTAATCCTCACATGTGCAGATATTGATTTGACTTCTGTTTACTTCATTATTCTTAAAGCACCTCAGTTTTCCTGCCTTTGCTTTACATGAACAGATTCAG